TTTCTTTGAGATAATATTCATATAGATTCAGAGAAATATAAAATATTCCGATATATAGGCACATTTAAGTATATAAACTTACCTGTCAAAAATTACAGTCAGTTTTTCATGTTAAATACATAAAATATATATCTAATATAAAATTAAACAAAAAATTAAACTTACTCAAATCAGTAACAGTTCGACTGTCTAAATATTTTTATTATTAACCCTTCTATTTAAAAAATAAAAACAAATGATTTGAAGTAACTAAAAAGCACTTTAGCTCTTTCCAATTGCACTAAAAAATAAAATAAATCTTGCTTGCTAAGTTGCCTAATTCTTAAGAATCTGATAACAAATAAGTAAAAAACCAAGAACAAACAAACATTTATTTACTAAAACTACTCTATTTAAATAAATTAAAGTATACAGAGAACAACATTGATACTCCTTGAAAGCTGAAAAACTTTTTATCTCAAATTTGCTTGTAGACCTTGCTTATGAAACCACTTGAATAAGAAAAGCATCAAAAAAGCCTAGAAGCTGGTATATGCTACATTGAATTTTAAATGTTGATTGGTGTAGATATTTTTAAAAAAATTCAAAATGATTTGTTCTTCTATAGCAAATAAATACACCATAAATCTGAAGTTAAAAATGTAATGAATAAGTAAATACAAAGAAAAACATCATATGTGAATTAAAAATCAATGTACCTGATAGAGATAAGCTGCGGTGATACCTGAGTAGTATCACCACATACACGTATTTATCAAAAAAATTTTAACTTTGATCATAATATAAATGCAAACATATATGCAAACTTTTAACAACTATAAAAGAACATTTATTAGCATCAATTATTTTTAATGTAACAAAGAATGCAGACTACAATGCACGACATTGTTAATAAAAATGAAGTTATGTCAGTCAGTATATATTTATCTAAAGTAGTGAAAAATAATAAACCATTTAAAAACAAAATTAAAAATTTCTAATGAATATATATTTAGATACCTTAAAATGAAGCATAACACAACACTCTTTTGACAAATTCCAGAGCAAATTTTTTAAATTTTTCTATTCCTTATTATTTTATTCCTTATATAGATAAAATACATATTAAATGCCACATTCAAATAATGTAATTAATACCTTTATTAGATCTCTCTTGATTAACTAAAGAATTTAAATTTTAAATAAACTCTAACTAAATTTTAACAAACAAACAACCAAAATAAATCTTCATATTAATAGTACGTTATTAAGTTGATTAATAGATCAAACAATTTAATCTACTCTAATAATCTACTACCTTATTAATAAACTTTAATTTTTTTTCTACGACTCAGTGTAACTATAATATAGATATTTTTAAAGTAAAAAAGAATTTAATATTATAATATATATGATTTTAAAAACCTGAAATTTTAAATCTACCTCGAAGAAAACAGATATATATTGAAAAGTATTTTTATTTCTTTTTAAAAATTTAAAAATGCTTTATAACTTACTTGTTTCGATATTATCACCAACGTCTAAATAGAAAAACAAACAAACATTCAAGTCGACTCATTCTTAAACCTTATAATATATATGATTTAAAAAACCTGAAATTTTAAATCTACCTCGAAGAAAACAGATATATAATAAAAAGTATTTTTATTTCTTTTTAAAAATTTAAAAATGCTTTATAACTTACTTGTTTCATATTATTACCAACGTCTAAATAGAAAAACAAAGATATATGAGTTATATATAAGATTTTAAAATATATATGACTTTAAAAAACTGAAACTTTAAATCTACCTCAAAGAAAACAGATATATATTGAAAAGTATTTTTATTTCTTTTTAAAAATTTAAAAATGCTTTTTAACTTACTTGCTTCAATATTGTCATCATCTAAATAGAAAAACAAACAAAAATTTAAGTCGACTTATTTTTAAATCTAGTTTAATTTCTTCAATAATAAAAAAAATTTAATCTTTGAGGATTAAATTCATTTACAAAAATTCGTTTAAACCATTTTAACATTGTAAAGTTAATTTAAAATTTTAAAAAACTGAAACTTTAATTCTACCTCAAAGAAAACAGATATATATTGAAAAGTATTTTTATTTCTTTTTAAAAATTTAAAAAGGCTTCTAAACTTACTCCCTCCAATATAATTATATAATATATATAGTATATATGATAAATAAACCTCCACAATATCCTTGGTTTAACAACTCGATTATGATTTATAACAACTCTGTAAACATGAATTTTCTAATAACCTAAATAAATTACAGATAGACAAACATAAACTAACACAATTAAATCCTAAACCAAAATTCATTCATGCAAGACAAATAATTTTATATTTATTGAAGAGCCAGAAACATATTTTTTTTCAAAGAGCTAAAGTATTAACAATATTTAAGACAAATTTTATTTATAACAAAATTTTCAATAAAAATTAAATTAAGATAAATTTATAACAAAATGTTGTCATGGCTTTTATCCCAATAACCAAAACTAAGTGAAAGCATGAAACTACCCATAAATATATTTTAACGCTAGACACAAATTAAGAATTAAAGTAATCTATAACACGAAGCTTTAAATTTAAAATTACAATTTAAAAAAGATTACAATAAATTAATTACTTTTAAATTTAAAAAAAAAATTTAGATTACCTATAATTTTAAGCTACTAAACATAATCTACTTAATGTCAACTTAGATATTTTGAACTCGTACCATGAAAGGTTGAAGGGAAATCTGTAAGTAAGCACGCGGTAAAGAAAAGTCTAGAAACTACTTAGAAAAGTGTATTTTACAGATACAGAACCGTACCGTAACTATAAAACAATACGCGTAACTATGCGCATTAATATTCATAGGCTATTAATTATAGGCGATAATAAGTTTTTAAAAATTAATTTATGTATTTTTTTTAAAAATGTCAAATAAAAAATTAATTAGACACGCTATACCAGTGGCGGATCCAGAAAGGGGTGGCTAACCACCCACCTTCTTTCTTATCATAAAATAACTTAGGTTGACCTTTTTAAGTTAATTAAGCGTAATATATCTATTTATATTTAATTTTGTTCACTAATTAATTAAAAAGTTTTTATAATTTATTCCATAATTTTAAAAAATAATTAGTAATTGTAAAAAAATTAAATGTTTTAAATTTTGTCGAAAAATACTTTTTGTATAACATTGTTTAATCCTTTACACGGTAGGTGATTACAATATTTCTATTAGTAGCACTTACCGTTTATGAAAATATTTTTTTTGGATATGCTTTATTTTGTTTATTTTTTTCTCAAAATCTTTAGAATTGTATGAGCTAATATAATTCTCAAGATTTTATATTATCCCCGCCCCTCCCCATTTTTTTAAAATTCTAATTAAAGCGGAATTAGTACACTTTTAGCAAAAAAATGCATACTCAGAGATATATAAATATATATATATATATATATATATATATATATATATATATATATATATATATATATATATATATATATATATATATATACATATATATATATATATATATATATATATATATATATATATATATATATATATATATATATATATATATAAATATATGTATATATATATATATATATATATATATATATATATATATATATTTTTAAATCACGTTTTTTTTTCTGGGATAAAATCTAATTTGCTCTATTCGAAAACAATTCTAAAAGGTATATTTTGAAACCACAATCAACGTGTTAGGGTAAATACGCCAATTACTGGCCATTAACCATTTACTGGCCATTAACCATTTACTGGCCACTTTTAAAAGCTTTTCTCACAAGAATCTATGGCGCAAGTTGTACTAAATTATTATTTAAACTCAGTGACTTTATTAAAACTTTCTAAATTTCGCTAAAAAAAGGAAATTTTTAGAAGGTTTTAGTCGCTAGAATTTAATGTGAAAAACATTGTATTAAATGTTACTACTTTACGCTTTGTTTTCCTAAATTCATACTTTATTGTCATTTATTTAAGTATTTGTGGTACAATACAAGTATTTGTGGCAGTCCATTCAGGAACGAAAAAGATGATAAATATCTTATGTACACTTTGAAACAAAATTATTTAGTTGATGCCTCACATTTAATGTTTTAACTGAACTAGATTAAACTTTTCCTAATGCACTATTTACTGGCCGTTTATTTAATCCATTTACTGGCCATGTTCAATAAATGGTATCAGATATAAAATTATTTAGTTAATTATTTTTGTATAAGATTTTCTCATGAGAAAAAGTGTGAGCTCACACTTTACTTTTTATGAGTGAAAAAAGTTAAGTTAAGATACTAATTCAAGTAGAAGTTAAGTTAAGATACTAGTTCAAGTAGAATGAGCTTAGAAAATTATAGTTAATTATAATTACAGTTAAATATGTTCTAATAACTTTAATTTAATAAAAAATATACCATTAATAAATGAAAATATATAGTTTTTCTAAAAGTATTTTATAAATACATGTTTTTATTTTTTAGTATATAATAATATTAAATATGAGAAAACAAATATGAAAAAATAATTTGAAAATCAAATCAAACGGTATCATGAAACCAACTTTTTCAACAACAATAAAAAAACGCATGCTGTGGACTAAAAATGACATGCAACTAGCACTACGTGCAGTTTTATCAGGTATGCCTCAGCGGAAAGCAAGTTTATTGTGTAAAGTTCCACGATCGACTCTGCAAACTATGATCTCTGGAAAGTCCAAAATAGGAGCAAAACTAGGGAAACAACCAGTGCTGGTAATCTCGAAGAAAAACTAATTGATTATGCTGGCAATCGTGCCCAAATGGGAATTAGTTTTGGAAAAAAAACATTTATGATTTATGCTTCTAAACTTGCTAAAAAATATAACAAAAGTTTCAAAAATGGTCTACCTAGTGAAAAGTGGTGGCAGCTACTTAAAAAGATACATGGTTGAGTGAGTCTTTGTCGTCCAGAAGCTACAGCTTCTATACGACACATGTGTATGGAGAGCGTAAAGGTTTCGAAATATTCTACTTCTTTAGAAGTTCTTTTACAAAACAAAAATTTACTTGACAAACCAGAATGTATGTGGAATATAGACGATACAGGGATGCAACTAGAGCATAAACCAAGACATGTTGTTGCCAGGGAAGGCTCAAAATATATCCAGAGTCGAACTAGTGGCAACAAAGAGACAATTACTGTCATATGTTGCATAAATGCAGTTGGTCAAGTAATACCACCTCATATAATAGGGAAAGGAAAAATTGTACGTACCTTTTATGGTTTTGATACAGAAAATGCTCCAAGTGGAGCAACATGGAATGTATCTGAAAAGGGCTGGACAAAACGAGGTATTGCGGAATTATGGTTTGAGAAAAAATTTCTCCAAATATTGGCTCAGCAAAAACCACAGATTCTAATCCTAGATGTACACGATTCACACAATTTTGTTGAAATGATTGAGCTGGCTATTGTAAACCAAATTGAAATTGTCGAGCTTCCAGCTCTCAGCAGCAACTGTTTTCAGCCTTGTGACAGAACAGTTTTTAAGCCACTATAAATGCTTATTCTGAGGTCTGCCAAACAATGATGAACAACTACCTAGGTGTAATAGTCTCGCATTCTAATATTCCTAGGTGTAATATATATATATATATATATATATATATATATATATATATATATATATATATATATATATATATATATATATATATATATATATATATATATATATATATATATATATATATATACACGAATCAAAGGCATATCTCCAAATGAGTATGAAACGGTTAACAACTACCAAGACACACTTAGTAAATCCAGCATTGCGTATCAACTCAGCAATTAATTCAATGACTGCTGAAATTATAAAAAATAATCAAAGGCTACCAACAATATTGAAGCTGTCATGTATTGTGCACGCCAACAAACTGCACTGCAAGGCCATTAGGATGATGCCATTCAACTTTCTGGAAATCCGACACTAAACGATAGAAATATATTTGCCCTGATCCGTCTTCTTGCAGAGCAAACTCCAGTTTTAAAGGAACACCTACTTAATGGACCAAAAAACGCACTGTATACTAGCAAAACTATACAAAATTAGATAATCAACATTGCCGCTAACTAGGTTGGTGACTATTTTCTTAAGTGTATAAAGGTTTGTCCATATTTTTTGATAATTGCCGATGCGACAAACACACATGGTCGAGAAATTATTTCGGTCTGTATTCGTCTTCTTGACACATTTAAAGAAAAGCTTAAAAAGATGGAAGTTGTAATATGATTGGTGAAGACTGAAAGAATCACAGGAGAGTCTATTGCACTGTCTATCAAAAATGCACTAGAAGAAGAAAGTATTAACATCAAAGATTGCAAGGACAAGCATATGATACAACGGCGTCTATGAGTTCTGACAGAAAAGGGGTACAGACTTTTGGACACCAAATGCAGACTATCAAGGATGTGTCCTTCACTCCCTAAATCTAACAATTTGCCATGAGTGTGAGATTTCATCTATTAGAAATATGATGGATTCCTGCCAACAATTGTTTTCATTTTTGATAACTCACCAAAGCGACAACGCTTTCTCCAAAAAGTTATTTCTATTCAAGCGCTTGAATTAAAAAAAGACAAAATTGAATAATCTTTGCAAAACACGATGGCTTGAGCATCACAGCACATTCAATACTATTGATGAACTTTACATTTACATTATTCACACTCTTGATGAAATTGTAACAACATCAGATGACACTGATCTCTATGATGATTTAAAACCAAAAAGTTGGAATTGGGATTCTGAGATTCAAAAGCCAATGGATTGCGACACACATTTACTAATTACGACCACATTATTTTTGTTGTGGCAAAGGAAGGTTTACAGTAAATGCAACCAATTGTACCATGTCTTCAGGGTGAGATCATGGATGTTTATCTGGCTTTCCAAAAGGTTTCGCAAATTTCTTCTTTCTATTCTACTCTCCGCACAAATTCTGATGACTGGTTTTCTACCATTTATCTCAAAGCTAAGAAAATTGCGCAGTCTGTAAATTATACTGAAGAAACTCCAAGGCTTTGTAGCCTTCAAATCCACCGCTCAAATATACCTGCTACCTCACCTTTTGAGTAAGTAGATAAATAAACCTTTTTTGGTATTTTATAAAGTAAACTATATGGTGACTTTGAACTTATTATAAAGAATACTCTAGCTACTAACAAAGAATTAGGAGGAATAGGATACAAAAAAAATCTATCAATTTAATTGTGAACCAAAACTGTAACAAAAACAATGACAGTGTAGTTATCTTGTTGTAACATATAAACTCTTTAATATTGTTTTTATAAAACAAAAAATATAATTACAAATATACTTGAATAATATTTTCAATATTCCAAAATAATCACTATATATATATATATATATATATATATATATATATATATATATATATATATATATATATATATATATATATATATATATATATATATATATATATATATATATATATATATATATATATATATATATATATATATATATATATATATATATATATATATATATATATATATATATATATATATATATATATATATTCCAGACAGCAAGCTTACATTGGCCCAATGTTGGCCCAATGCAGGTTTGATCATTGGTTAGGTATTGGCCCAATGTTGTATACAACGTTTACCCAACATTGGCACAACGTTGTATATAACGTTAGGCCAATGTTGTATACAACATTAGCCCAACGTTTTATACAACATTGGCCCAACGTTGTATACAAAATTGACCCAATATCGTATGTTATACGATTATTATTTTTATATTGGCCTAACGTTTTATTCATCATTAGATCGTTGTTACAAATAAGATGATTTGCATCGCTACATTGAAAAATTATAGAGAAAAAAAAGAATGTATTATACAAGTATAAATATTTATTTATTAAACATAATTACTCGGTTAAATATACATATTGCAAACACCAAAATTATACCAAAAACTGACACATTGAGTTTTAAATAAAAAAATTCACTATAAAATTTATAGAGTAGTTTCGATATTGACTGAGCTACTTGTTATTGAATCGTGTTTAGCTTATGATATTTGGTGCCCACGATTATTATTTTTTCTTCCGCTATCTCTATCACATGTCTGCATAAGCCATGCTTAATTGACTTCACAGTTTCTGCAAAAAAAAATAGTTGTTTGTTAAGTTATGCACCAAAGAAACATAACAAATTGAAAGTAATTCTGTAATACAAAATTGAAACTGAAAAAATAAACGTTTCTAAACCACTTACCAATAGCAGCATATGCAAGCAACATTTTTCCTATTCCAATTTTTTATCCTCTCCCTGCATAATTTAATTTTACAGCTAGGCCATTTTAATAAACTATTCTTAGTAAATAACAAATACAATCTCCTTCGTCTTTAACTCCAATTTGTGCCAAATAATTAACTTGCAAAAATACACAGCCCTAATATAAAATGTCATTTACAAAAAATCTTCAAAGAGTATTTTATTTAAAGTATATAAATTGTACTACATATCATACTAAATGCATAAACAGATCATAAAAAAATATTTACCATTTACTGAAGTGTTTTCTTGTCTTATTTCTTCCAGAGTACTTGAATTCTTCACTGCTTTTAATGGCAATGACACTCTTTCAGGCAATACAATAATTAGCATACCTTTGATACTCAAATTTTTATAACTGAATTTGATGAATTTTGTAGTTCACCAAGTTGCACTTCAATGCTTGCCCATTGTGCCAATAATACCAGCATATCTTTCAAGGATACAACTTTATCTTGAAACAATAAAGTTAATTATATTATTAAGAAACTATACAACTAATTATATATTATATTTAGAATTTATGAAAGTAAATACAACAATCACTAATAAAACAGATAAAATTAAAGACAGAGGGCCAAACTTTTAATGATCAAAATATATACTTGCTAATGGATTCATAATATTTTTATGAATTATGAAATTTGCAGGTGTGCATTCAATTTCTGGGACTGACACAAAACAATTCTTATTAATGTTTGAGATACACATTGCAATGTAAAACAAAAAAACTCATATTAAAACAATGTTTCTCAAACAGGGTTCATAGCCAACTATTTATATAAAATTGAATGACTTTTTTGAAAAATCAGATGAATGTCCCTGACGATTTTTAACAATGGTTTTTACAAAATGTTTAAAATAACTATCTACTGTAATGGAAATGCTAAGAATATTCATGCTTTGAATGACAAAACTTATAAAACTTAGCTATTACTAAAGTTAGATATTAGTATAGATCTTATTATACATGTTAGTATGGTTCTTATTATTAAGGATGATTAAGAATGAACACTAAGAAAAACATGTTTCAGAAAAAATAAATTAGTAGCACCAAAAAAAAACATAATAGCTTAATTGAGCGCTGTATTTTGAAAATGTGACAAGTCACAAAATTAAAATTTTACAGAAGAGTAAAAAACATTTTTCCTAAAAAAAATTTTGTTTTTGAACTAAAAATTATTTTTTTTATCAAAAAAAAATCTTTATTTTATCTAAAAAATCTTTTATTTATCTTAAAATTTTATCTTTTACTAAAAAAAATATTCTTTTCAAATAACCTCAATTTTAAAAAGTGTGACTCTTCACGTTTTCAAAATACAGCGTTCAATTGCAAAATCAGTAACTTCTTAACTAGAATTCTGACTTTTCCATGACTATCTAAAAAAAAAAATAATTCCCTGACTTTTCCAGGTTTTCCACCACTTTGGCCAATATTAACACATTTTCCAGATTTTCCAGGTACAGTACAGACCTTGTCCAATGTTTGAATATAATTTTTTTTTACATATTTTAGTTCTGAATTTTAATAATACAATTTAAAAAATAACATCATCTATAAAAATATCGTATTACCTTTGTCTATTAGATAAATTTAAATAAACGTTTAAATAATAAATAATAATGAACCACCAGCAACTGTTAAAACTTTAAACTGATATAAATAGTCTGTTTTATATCTCTGGATATTTTTCATAATTAGTTTGCGTAATGCAGTTAACAACTTTAAGCTTATATATTAACTTTCGATTTCAAAGTTGGTGACTTTGAAATCCAACAAAAAATTTTTGTTACGTTCATAAACATAAATGTTCTCAAAACGACTAAAAAACCTGGCCAGTTCTTTGCAACTAAATATAATTTCGGTGGTCAGTATCCAAGAGCGATCGCTCCCGCTTTCTAACCAAGCCAGTGGTGTAAGCTTTGATATGTTGATTATTATAAAATAAAATGTTAATTACACTCTGACTTTTTGACCGTAATATATGAAAAAGTCTTTAAAATTGTAAAAGTTAAAGCTATGAATAAAGATTTTCAATCATCAGACATAAAGAACTTTATATAAAAACTTACCATTTAATAAATTTTGTTTATTTAACTTCTCAGAGCAAACATTGAACTTCTGTAAAGAGTTTGTAGTTACAGGTAAATCCCAAAGTATAATAATATTTTTAGTTTTATTATAAGAAATTGAGGATAAATCATCTACACCAAGATATACACATTTTTTTGTCTCTTTAATCTTTATTTTGGCTGGTTATTTTCGCTATCTTCCTTTTTTGTGTCCAGAGCAGAAGTTTAGCCTTCTGCTAAATTCAATCTTGTATTGCTATAAAAATCTATAAATCAAAATATTAATAATTAAGTTATAACGAAAGTTAATATATAAGCTTAAAGTTGTTAACTGCATTACGCAAACTAATTATGAAAAATATCCAGAGATATTAAATTAAAAATTATAAAACCAAGAATAATGTCCCTCTGCCTCAGAAAGATGGAATATATAAAGGGTTGTTTCAATTTAAATCATGATTTAAATCAGACAAATAAAAACAATGATTTAAATTGAGTCTTTTTATTTCAATTGATTTTAATGATTATTTAATGATTTAATCTCATAATTCAATAAATCATTTTAGACTAGTCATTGGTCTTAAAACAAAATGTCTGGCAATACTAGAAAGCTCTACATAAGTAGAATATAAATTCTAATAACATCACTTTTTGTACACTGTTTTAATATTTTAGTAAATGGGGTTTCACAATCAAACAAAAAAGACATACTTAAAATGTAAAATATCAGCTTCTAACAACTTCAATGCCACATATATATCACTGATACCTTTAATAATATATCTTATAATAGCTATATAATCTAAACTATTATAAATAAATTATGAAAAAAATTTTTTTTTCAATACTTATACTGTATGACATTTCAAATGTTTGATATATTTAATAAAGAAGAATACAAAATGTCTTCTTTATTAAATAAATCGAACATTTGAAATGTTACAATTATTTAATAAAGATTATAAAATAAATCAAACATTTGAAATGCTAATACAGCAATAAGTATAAAAAATAACTTTAAGATCTTACACAAAAATAATTTAATTATTACCTTTATTATTACATTAATAATTTACATTGTAGTAAAAAATGTTTCAAGTATATTATTTAACTGTTAACAAATATTTCATTATTAAAAAAAAAAAATATAACGCAGATATCTGAACATTACAAAAGGAACAAAATGTCTCATATCTATAAACATCTTCCTGCTAGTGAAAATTGTTTCATGCAAACAAATGATAAGTGTTTTTCAGTTTTAGATTCAGCATCTAACAAATTTGAGCTAAAACCTAAAGAAAGTATGTTTATAGAATGGTTAAAACCTGGTATGAATAAACAGGTTAACCATGCACAAATGATATTTTCTGTTTAGCTGCTATTTTTTATACATATTGCGTATCTTTTTAATCTATTCCTTTATTATTTTCTATTTCTTTTGTATGATATGATAAACTTTTTAATTGCTTTTATTGTATTTTTGTAATTATGTAATTATTAGTTGTACAAGAATAATTATATATATATATATATATATTTTTTTAACCTTTTAACAAAAATTAGGATATTTTAAGTACTAGGTAAATGCGCACTGCGAACCGCGAACAACGAACTGGTAAACTGGTAACTGGTTTTTGCGAACCGTCGTCCTATTGGTTGTTAATGACGTAATATTTTATTTCCGTTTAATAGTTCTTTTAGCGGTATATTTTAGGGACTTTTAAGCGAAAAAATTAAAAAAATAAATAAATGGAAAATAAGTGAAACTAGACAAATACAATATAATTTTTCTTTTCTTTTATTATTCGATAGACTGCCTGCACAAACCAAACCCTCAGTCGATATAGCAGCACTCCGTTGCGAGTCAGGCTATAAGATAGTCGATTTAGCAGCACTCCGTTACGCGTCAGGCTCTAAGATAGTCGATGTAACAACACTCCGCGCATGTTTTAGAGTTAAAAATAAAATTTTAATTTTAAATAAAGCTTTAAAATAGATAATATAGAATTGGAGAGTTTTTTTATTATTATTTTTATCATAATGGTCTTTAAAATATGCTTTGGTTCGCAAAAAAGCTCGCATTTTACCGGTTCGCATTTCGCATTTTACCGACAACCAAATTTAACAAACTTTAAATATTTAATTTTAACTGAAGATGACTACTGTTTTTCGAAATATGTATTGTTTTTTTTATTAATAAATGGTTTTAAAAATTAGAGAATTTGACTTGGTTACGAAAATATTTAAAGTAAATAATTAAGAATATATATATATATATATATATATATATATATATATATATATATATATATATATATATATATATATATATATATATTTATCTATAACATTTTATACCTAGATTATAAGTGATTTAGGTTGATAGGAGTTAAACATCAAAATAAATATGCATATATATATTTTGATGTTTATATATATATATATATATATATATATAGATGATATATATATATATATATATATATATATATATATATATATATATATATATATATTTATACAATATATTCAATATTTATATATAGTTATATTTATACAAATATATGCATAGGTGAGGAGTACCAAAAGGACTCTGGCCTTATAACTTTATTTTTTCATAGTCTCTGGTGTCCAGAAGCTCTTGAATGTTATGTGAAAAACAAATCTTTAAAGTCTGACTCAAAGCCTTAAAAAGGAATGTCTTACATTCCTTTTTTCAGAAAAATTTAAACACGCACTTTTAAGTTTTTCTGAGATATGATATTTAATTGTATTTAAATGTGCATTTTCGCACATGATATGATATTGAGTTATATATTATTGAAAAGTATGCTGTTTTATCTGGCTTCAGATGCTGACATCAATAGAGTTTTCTGTTTTATCTGGCTTCAGAGTTTCTGTTTTATCTTTCTTCAGTTGCTGACATAAATAGAGCGAGGTATTTCAAAAGTATGATCCATTAGCTTAAAAACATCCAACTTTTTCTTAAAAAAACAAGAAAATAAATTTATAAATATTTTAAAAAAATTGAACTTTAAATTAATCACAGAATATTTGAAAGTAGTTTAAAAGGCACAATTATGTTTTTTATTTTCCCCAGGAATAGGGAAGATAAAAAACTCAACTATCTCTTTATTTCAAGTTTGTTTTTTTAATTTTGCATACTACTTTTTGATTGATTGTGGAATAACAAAATTACTGCAACAAAATTATAGTTGCTCTAATTATCATAATTATAACTAATTTTTAGAACAGATTTAAAAAACTAATTAATAATTTATTATTTAATAACTAATTAATAATTAATACTCTTTTTTTGTTTTCCATGATTTCTAGAAATAAAGAATAGAAAAGGCAAAAATTAAAGTATTAGTGAATTTC